GCTAGAGTGTTGATATAAGGATGGGAACCTGGAACAAAGATTACAGTGAGAGAAATATCACTTCTCTATTTTACTATCTTCAGCCATGCAAAAAATGTCTTGGTTCTGCTTCTATAAGTGATTTTTCCAATACAACAGACTTATGACAAACTCCTTTCTTATTTTTGGAAACGGTTTGTTTATACAGATAGCTGTGGTATTTTATAAATGTGTTCCTATAGCAGATTAAAAACCTGCTGCAAACACTCTCTCCACCTTCTCATCCGGGAGGCACCTGGATGTTCCAGAGTTCCCAACCACTCCTGCTGGAGAGGACACTTGGACATGGTGGCAATTACCCTAAATCCATAGAGTACACAGTGATCACCAGCTATTCAGCCTTTGCTGACAGGTAGCCCCTTAATGAATAGAAATAAACCCTGACAATTCAGGAATGATATCATTAAAAATGGCCTCCTCTTAGAGGAATTCAGTACCTTGATGTAGGTGACCTCAAATTTTGGTAGCCTTCTTAATGGCCCAGGATAGTGCAGAGCACCACACTGCCTATCGTGCTTAAATTTCTCAGAGAATTGCCAGATCCAGGCTCCTTCTCCATCATTTTTCGAATTGCCATGACATCTTCTGCCATTTCATCGTGCCAATTCCCTTCTACAACACCTGTCTTAACACACTATCCTAATTTACTACTACATATGAATGCCATCAACCAATTCACTTTCTCTCAAACCTCTAGTGAAAATAATAAATGAAATCAGAGTTAATCCTAAACCCTGAAGTGCCCCTCTAGACAAGTTATCCTGGTTAAATGTATTTAATTACATTCATCATTTTTCTAGTCAAGTTCTAGATCTCATGGGAAGTCTCAAACCCAAACTCATATGGAATTATTCCCCTTCCACATCTGCAGTCAAATCTACACGTCTATGGAGTCCTGAAAACCAATTACATATACATAAACTCATTCACTGTTGTAACAATCAGGTTATTTATATCCCTCTCAGAATAACTATTCCATAAAAATTGATTCACATGGAGCTGTAACATCAGGAAAGCTGTAATCCAGCTGTATGCAAACCCTCATTCCTCCCTGACAGCTACTATTAAACAGGCAGCAAACACATCCCATGTAATGGGATGCAGAAAGGGTCTCATGGTTGCAAATTCTCTTCACTCATACTTGATATTATCATGACCCTGATGAATTAATCTTATTTTCCACTAAATATGCAAAAGTTATTTCAAGAGGTAATGAAATTTGGGCAGTAACTCTCTGTGTGAGAGAATTGAGCTCAGATCCCTAGAATAAGAAAGCAAAAATAGCATAACTGAATTAAACAAAGTCACTAGCAGATTTAAATTTAGAAGAGATTACAATCCATAGAAGATCTGTGAAGTTACTCAAGTATCCTGTAATCAAGGACTAATACATCCTGTGAAGAGAAGCAAAGAAGCAGTAAGAAATTCATGTGGCTAAACCAGAGTTTAGTGCTGGGATGCGCAGATGAAAACCCTGCTCCTGAAAATGTCTCCCAAAAATAGGGCAAGCCTTAGGGACAAGGATGTTGGAGATCAACACTGCAACGATAGTCGTCACCAACCATGAGCCAGCAAAACCTTCCATGTTAGTCTGGCAGGAGTAACCTTAGAAAAGCCTTGAATTCATTGAAAGACGTAACAAAAAATCTGATTCTCATGAATAAATTCCTTTTCTTCTGAACATTTCCCAAAAATAACGACGAGTAGAGGTATTCCTGTATAGATGACAAGTGTTAGTCACAACATTTTGGGTACCTCTACAATATTTGGAACGTGACATCACTGACTGACATATGACAGTTTTTTTAACAATTAAATGAAAAATGGAATTCTGAAACCTCATGGATTGACTCCTTTCTCAAAAAAAAAAAAAAAAAAAGAAAGACTCAGGGGAAAAAAATCCCAGATAGTTATTTCCTCCTTGCATTTGAAAACATCAGTGTGATCTGGAGAGGAAAAAGATGATTTAGTGTTTTGGGGAGGGGGCAGAGGAGTGAGCAGATCACATAAGGCAGTGTCAAGCAGGGCTCAGGGAGCTGCTTTAGGCAGTGCCTGGGGAATGAATTACGAATTGGGGAACATCCAAACACACCTTCCTCTCAAGAAAACCGATCTCAGCCCTGAGGGATGGAGAGGGCATTGACAGTAACACGCAGAGTTCAGAGCAGTTCGGGTTGCTCAGGCGGCTCAATGCCGAGCTCTGGTGAAGTGTATCACCAGCAAAACGCCCTCCAAGAGACACAAAACCAGGAATTGTTTAAACCATGGACTGCTGCCACGGGACTCAGTCATGCAGAGCTAATAGATCAGCTGCTGCTGCCTTGCTTACCCAAACACTCAGCTGAGGTTACAGTTTCTCACTATTTTCTTATTTTAGAGATAGTTATCTCATCATAGGAGCCTTGGATTGTCATGCAACATTTACAACAGTCAAAATGACATGAAATGGTTCCAGCTACATCTGGGATAATCAGATACCTCTTTCCAAATCAAAGCGTCATTGTTTTCTTTAACACGTCCTACATCCAGGCAACCCACAACTTCCTTAAGCTCTGTCTCCCAGGAACAGTTTATTGTAAATGATTTATTGTAATCCTGAATTATTGGCAGCCTCCTCTGACCATAATTTCTTCTCTTAAAGAAGGCTTGTCAGTAAGTGGTTTGATTTCTCTTTGCTATAATCTATATTAAGAATGTAAATTGTTTTGGAGTTGGTTGGGTATGGGGTTTCTTTTGTTATATATTCTTTCTACAAAATAAAGTGTCTCTAAGGGATATTTTTAAAGCAAAACACAAAAAAGGGGAGATTTAAAGAACAGTAACAGCAAAAATTATTCAGGATGTTGATTTGACAGTTTGTCCTGGTCTATGTTTGTAGCCTTCTTTGAGACACATCAGTGAGAGTGAAGTTGCAAATGGCTTTTTGAGTGAGAAAGTCTGAAGGTCAAGAAAAAATGGAAGTCAGAAGTACCTTGCCAGAGGTTTTTCTCTCACAGAACAACACATCCACAGCATGCCATTTCCAGGATAAGGATAACCTAGAGATGCAGTTACTACCTGGGAGAGGTCTTGGAGGGGACGGACAAGAATAATTTGGTTTTCCTGGACCTTTTGTACTGGCTGTCCAAATAATCATGACATACTCTCTTTGCTTTGAGAAAGGAGGACTGGTTGCCTTCAGTGAGCAGACCCAGACCTTTCTGGCCTGTTGAATTACCCCTTCAGATAATGCTGCTTTTTCAGAGAATCACAAAATGGTTTGCGTTGGAAGGGGCCCTAAAGATCATCTCATTCCAACCCCCTGTCATGGGCGGGGACATCTATTCCCTCCCAGATCCCACTGGTAAACATAATGAGAACAGAAAAGTTGCAGGCATTATTGTACTCTGCAGTCAGAGCTTTCTGACTTAGATATTTTCTTTATTCTGGTGAATCTCTTTTTCTCAGAAACAAACTCCTCCTTCTTCCTTTGTTTGTGACCACTTGTCAAGTGTCTCTCTCAGTGCAGAAGCCACCGGGCAAGAATCCTACCTGTGCAAAAGCTTCTAATAAAATTCTGATTCTTAAGATCACAAATTAGGCAGCTAGGCTGAAAAATTGCAGTATAAAAGAGAGGTCAGGCACAGCTTTGTATACCCTGAAAATAAGTGGGAAACCAGCACTAAGAGGGCAGACAGTTTGGATTGCACACAATTACAAACAGACACACACATATATTTCCTACTTGTCAGTTTTCCCACCTGCTTCTTTCAAGATGAGAAAAATATCTCCTTATCAGCCTCCAGTTAAGCCACTGGGAGAAGAGTCAGTGCCTGAGACACTTCTGAACTTTATCTAACATCATTTTTTCCTGATACACTGCTATAGGTCTCATGCTTGATTTCCAAGCCCCATTGTGCTTTATCCCCCTGGGCACTGCAGTCTTACTCATCATAAATACAGATTTCTCTTTGAACTACAAAAGCAAAAGAGGGTTTCCACATTTTTAGGTGATATATCTTTGTTAACCAAACCTAATAAACCCCTCAGTTATTTACCTAACAGCTATTTCAACACGTGGCAAAGACCTGGCAGATTAATTCTTGAATTAAAGTGGGTTTTTTTTCAACTTGTACACCTGAAACTTAAACTATGAGCACAAACACCTTGTGCCAAGCAGGCAAACACTTGGTGTAGTATTATGTTCACAATATAAGAAAGAGGATGCAAGTTTTACCTTTCTATAAGTTTTACTGTATGGCTACAGTGAACAAGGACTGGGAGAAAAAGTCAGTAGAAAACAAAATATTAGAAAATTAAATTTATTCCTCTTAATCCAAAGAACACCATCAGATATGTCTCATATATCCAAAGATCAAAGGCTGGGAACTCGAGAGGAGATCTAGCTAATAAAAATAGGTATGGAATGATGAAGTAATTTGTATATCTCAGATACATTTAATCTTGCAAAATAGAGTGGAAAGACTGAAGGGATTGGGACTAATAAAAGAGAAAAAGTGAAAATATAAGTGCATCATAACCATTAGTCTGACTAATTATAGGAAAAGATTCATTTTTTTGTATAGTGCCTCTGAAAGCAACTGGGGTGTGTTTATACCACAATCTCTCAATAAACTGATATTGCTAAACTTGCCTTAACTCCAAAACAATACATTTGCATTAACTTATGTTCCTACATAAAACAGTTACTCATTTTTATAAAAATTGTGTGGTGAATCCACAGTAACTCCATATCACATCTTCACTGACATTGTATCTACAGAACATTTCTTTAAGAGCTAACAAAAAAATTCAGCTATATAAGGAATTTCTTAGTATGGGTTATTGTCCTGCTGCATTTCTAACCCTGTCTAGTCATCAGCACCCGGCAGGGTAGTTTGTTTTACACTCTGAGTTTTAAAAAATATTTACTGTAATTTGATTTTGTCGTAACAGGGTTTGTGTCTGGCGTGGATTTGGTGATGGTTTCGCTACTCCAAGATCAATCCAATATTAAATTTTCATCTTCGGACACTCTGGAAAGGGATCAACAAGACTTCATGAAGACACAGGGGGATTCAATATCCCCAGTTCAGCAAAGTGTGAGTAAGCTGGCCCAGGCCTGTTCTCTTTCTTCAAAGCTCAAATACAATATTCAGCTATTGCTGTACTAAATCTCACCAAACCTACTGGTAACAAAACAAACACTGAAAGTTTTATTCTTGAAGAGTAAAAACCTGAGTTGTCCTCCTGAGCTTATCTTAAGCTCCATGCTAAATTTCTTATTCAATTGCTTAAAAACTATATTTTTTAAAAAACAAAACTAGGGAATCTATCCATCCAACTTCTAATCCTGGAAAAATGCTGCATTGAAAGTTAATTCTCATTCTGTTTTTAAATTAAATAAATAAAAGGCAGACAAAGAGACATCAGAACCTTTTTGTCTCCTCCCTGCCTGTAAAGGATGACTTCAAGGACTTCACAATTCCTTGTGACTCTTTTGGAATAAAATTATCTGTCTCCTGTTGCCTGTATATTCATCATGTTTCATAACAAAAGTACAGTTGAGAGTACTGTTTTTCATCAGACAACAGCAAAATATCCATTGTCATCCTTTTATTATGAAAATTCCAAGCGGAGAATTGACAGCCCTGTCGTTCATACAGTTTAATGGAACTAAATATAAGGAGGAATTTTTTAATTCTAACCTAAGAAAAGATATCATAAACACGTGTATTAGGACTGTAGAGGAGAGCAAGGAAGAAAGAATTAAGAAGTTATAAACTAAGCAAGTTTGTGTTCATGTGAGAAGCTAAAAGTGCCACGAGGCCAGATTTGCTTTCTGCAGGGATCCACGGCAGAACAAAACGTTAATGGCTTTAACACACGTGCAAATGACTGGAAAAGCTGTGCCATGTTCCGCTGCAGAAAGCACTGGATTTGTGCTGACTTCCCTGTGGGACTTCTCGAAAGCTGGTTGTTCCATTTATGGCATATATTCCTTAAGCTGTTCTCCTAAAAGCCTGTAAAACCTACTCGGATTTGGAGGGGGAAGGAGCAAAGGGAGCACTCAGTAGTCTGGTCTGACTTTTTGTGTAACTCATAACATTCCATTTCCCCCTTCCCTGAACACAACAACCTGCTCTTGACTGACGCACGTCTTCTCAAAGGCATCCAAGTAGTTACTCATCCTTGGTGTCAGGGCAAATATGCATATTTTCAGTGTCAGGATCCAGACACCAGTCCTTGTTAAGCCTTTCTCCTTTAGATTAAAGAGCACTTCAGGAGCTGTTATTTTCTTTTTGCTAAAGTGCAAAAGGGAGGGGAGGAGATGAGACAGGCAGAAGGTTAAAACGTCTGCCCAGAGCCTACTTGTCTCTCAGAATGAGTGTGGCCACCTTAATGAAGGGAAGTGAGGTAACCACCAACATATCTGGCAGCGTGTAACACCATCAGAGTATGAGATCAAGCTTATTTGACTAAACTTGCATACGACAAGACTTGCACTTATCACATTCCTGTCATTTAATCTTTCATCACTTGATCATACATCATTTTTCTCTGGAATTGTCAGACCAACTAGTCAATGGTTACCTAAGACACCCTGTTTTTCAAAGATAGTTCAGTTTTCTGATAGAATCACAGAATGGTTTGGCTTGGAAAAGACCTTAAAGATTATCCAACCCCCTGCCATGGGCTGGGATGTGATCCACTGGACCAGGCTGCTCAAAGCCCAATCCAACCTGGCCTTACTTTTCTTAATTAATTGTTGAACAGTTTTGGATACCAAGCAATCAGAAAACCCTTTAGATCTTTTAGGGCTTCTCTTTTAAATATTTATATTTTATATAAATACATAAAGTAAATTATGAAAAAAATAAAAATTTGTTCATATGAATCCTAAATAAATAAATGCCAATATATCATTACAGGATAATCTCAGTTACAGCTGCCAACCATATGAGTCAGACATCAGGACAGAAAGAAAGAGCTCAGAGTCTTCTCACAGCCCCAGCCCTGCTTCCCCAGCCCAGGATCAAATTCATGGGAGATACCCTACAAACCAAGAAATTCACTGTGGCAAGAACAAATTCAAAGCATCTTTCAGTACTGAAAAATTCAGGAGGTGCAGTTACGAGGAAAATACTGTAGGAAACTACGACCGGTTCCTCAAGAGCAGCAGGAACCCCTTCCACCCTTACAAGAGGCAGATCAGCGAAGATGTTTTTCAGGAAGCACATCAAGCCCTCCCACCAGAAGCTTCACCCTTCAAAAATCATAGAAGCATCGATGGTTTTGAGGGTCTATCAGGATCTACAGGTCCTGACGAGTCAGAGTCATTTCCCACGCACATCCCGGACATCTCCACGGAGCAACCGTGGTGTAACAGCCTCCAGTACAACACCACGGGTCAGGATCACAGCTCACAAGTCATGGTCAGTATTCTTTTTATAGTTCTTTATCCTGTTTTCAGTGGCAGAAATATACTTTTCAAATTGTTGTCTTATCTCAACATTACTGCGTGGACATTTAGTCTCCCATCAAGTTGTAGGCTAGAGCTCAGGAGAAACATATTTAGACACATCCATATTCATTTGTCCAAGTCTCTAATTTAAGGCCTTTCCCTACTGGAAAACAATCCTCAGAAAGATGTGCAAGGTCAAATGATCTTCCATTAGACATGACACATGAATCCTAAATATCCAAATTCTTCCTGACAACAGTAGTTGTCATCAATTAGTATTTTCAAGATACACAAGTTCCCAAAACAGTATTTTTCAAGCATGAGGATGTATATCAGACTTGTTACAACCCCTTCAGCAGATCTAAACTTTTCTTGATGCAAACAGAGGAGAAACTCTGTGATATCAGTACCACCAAAATTTAAATATCAGACCTATTTATGGTACGTGAAGTGCTAAGTTACCTAATTCCAATACTAGATAGAAGGAACAGTCCATTTAGGGCAGCAGAGATCCCTGAAAAGCAAATTAAATTACCCTCCAGTATCTCCACAGTATCTCTGTTGTGATCCAAGGTGTAAAGTGTATCTTCATCATCTAATACAGCCAAAAACAATGACTCCACCTGCCAGGAGAGGGCCCTAAACTGGTTCTAAAGGGTTGTGTGATGAAGAACTCGAGTGCTCCCAAAATAAAAAAGGGTTAAAGAAAAAAATTCTTAATTGGATTAAGACCAGGGAATGGCGAGATGTTGTCAGGGAACATACCTGGGGATTGAAGCCATTCAGGTTAAGGAGGAAATTGATGTAAATCTCTTATTTCCTGGATAAACACTCATCTAGGTCAGAGGAGTTTAATGCAAAACCTGTGAGCAGTTGATGAAAAAAAAAAAAAGAATTCCCATTGTCTTCCCAAATCCCTGGGCTGCAAGATGTGCAAAATGTAAGGGTGGCACTGCAGGAGACCTTTACAAGTACTACTCAGGAGCAGAGTGGCTGCTTGTCAGAGCCTCCCATGATTCTGTCAGCAACAGATATCCAACTCCTAAATCGCTTCTACACTCCTGGCAAGTTGAGACTTCTGGAAATCTTTATCTGATGGTCACCAAAATAAGACAGATATTTACTAATACTGGATGTGGCATTTGCTTGGAGTCAGGATATCAAATCAAGTCTAACACGTGCTCCTACTAATATACCGTAAGAATACTAAACATGAAAATATTTAGCAGACATACTACAAAAATTTATATACTTATTAATATTTATTAGACATACTAAAATACCACAAAAGCTGACCATTATGGCCTTGCTTTAAAGCAGAAGGATAAGTGCTACTAGGTTCTTGTGCCCAGCCCTGAACACAGACAACTTCCACTAGGCTAAGTTGCTCCAAACCCCATCCAACGTGGCCTTGAACACTTCCAGGGGTGGGGCACTCCTTGTTTTGTACCATTAGAATATAAAACAACTTCTATGTAACACTCACTGTGACAGAATTCAGTCCAAAAAATGCAAATATCATGAAGGCAAATCCGAACAGTGACTAACAGAATTGTTCTATTTTAAATTGTTTTCTCTAATAACTCATTCCTTAAATATTTTCCAGCAGGATTCAGACATGAAGCTTAGGACATCCCCGCTGGAAGGGCAGCCTGGTTTGTACTGCTACCAGCCTCAAGTGCAGCAGATGTATTGCCCCTCACACCCTTTCCATCAGGTCAGTGTAATATGTGCACCAAAATCCTTGTAGTTCTAGCACTCTAATGGTACAATGGCTTAGGTATTAATATAAAAAAAAAGATTAAACAATACCTTTAAATTTGTGGGTTTTCAGGGCCTTTTTATATAAATACATTCATGAGAGTAAAATCTTAAAAGAACCACAGCTAAATGTGTTTTAAAATGGTCATTCAGAAAAAAGAAGAATAAGAATGTATAAACAATCTCAGTACTCCATATTTATATTTTCATCATTATGCTCAAGAAAACTGGTTTTGAAGCCTGATAAATTATTCACATAACTGTTGGCATTTTGGGATCCCAGGGAATTAACTGTGCTTTAATTTCAGAATAAAAACTTAATATATGTGACTGTCCACTTAAAATTCAGATCAAACATAGGAAAACACTTAAAAGTGAAATTTGAACAGCAAAATGATGTCCACTCCCCTTGTGCTTGATGGCACACATGTCTCTTTCACAATCTTTTGACTCTTACATCATCCCCAGTGAAAGATTATTCAGCTGAAGCATAATTGACAGTAATGCTGATAATGCAGGAGAATGTGCAATATTAAGGTTGTTCTTCTGTATGTAACTATATTATTAACACTAAAAATAATTTCATTTAGATATAAATGGTGGTGCCGTTTAACGCTTTGAATTTTTCCTCTTTTATGTTCAATGATCTGAAACTTATAAAATTTTCAGTAATTTTTTCAGTAGTGTTTATTTCAAGGTAAAAATATGCTTGAAGCACCCTATTTAAAAGAAGCAAAGAAAAAAAAAGCCCAAAACGTGAGGTGAAATTAAGGTAAAAAGGATTTTTCAGATTTATAGGTAGAAATCCCTATACAAAAACTGCACAACTCCAAAACACCCAACCATTAGAACACACAGGAAATTCATATATATAAAATACTTTAGGATAAAAGCTCACACTTGAGCTACATCTCCTTTGATCCCACTGACTGATGACAGATATCGTGGCATCAGCTCTACCATCTCATTCAACTTGCTCAAGAAGTATAAAAAATGTGACTGACAGAGCAGTGATTTAAACTGGGCAAAGAAAACAAAACCCAGGTTACTGTGATATTTCATTAGGGTTGTTAATTCGTATGGTGTTACATGTCTGAGTCATTGAAACAATCATCACTCCTGGCCTTTTTCTTTTACCTACCACACTGACATTCCTCTAGCCAGAATTTACTGAACTTTATTTTTCCCAGTCAAGTGGTAAAAAGGCAGCTATCTTTAAATTCTTATTGACACTACTGTAATTAATTTACTCGTGCTTTTTTTTCTTGTTAGCCCAAAACTCAATAGAAGTGATAAAAGGTAATAATAAAATTAAAATAGAGCAAAAGGAAAGGTGGTTTTACACTGCCATCCTAACTTACAAATCCATTGATTTGATTATTGTTATTTTAGAAGAAAGTGGTCCCAGATGAAGGATTAACTTGCAAAACAAAAAATAGCCCTGCTGCAAATATAAACTATTTCCCACTGGGATTGCAGGACAGACATAGTGGATATGCCACAGCACCCTACATCTCACTCACCATATAAATGCCATTTCTGTGTGCTGCTTTAGCAGAAACTCCACTCAGCTTGTGAATTCATCGAATATTTTTGGTTTCTTTATTCATTCTAAAGCAGACACCCTTCCCCTGTCCCCTCTGATGTGATACCTGTGCTATTACTATACACTGGCACTAACCACGTTCAAAAAAACTCCAAAATGAAAGCTGAAATAAACCTCCTGGGAGCTGCCAGGCAAGATACAACAAGCACTAAGAGGAAAGTCTTCCATCCACCTGCAAGCTGGCACCGTGACAGATCTCTTACGTGCAGCAGGTTTCTGTTGGACTTTCCAATACCTGTGCTTCTGAATGTTACTGTAGTAAAAGTCTGGCAATGTGTTCTACTACTCAGGGGAAAAAAAAACCAAACCAAACAAACCAATAAGTGTAAGCAGCCAAAGTCCCAACGGGTAGAACTGCTGTCTCTGTGCCATAATCAGATACTGGAAAATGAAAGAACATGGGATATAAGACTGAGAAGGAGGGGAATAACATCTGCATGAAGCAGCTCCATGATGAATGCTTTACATTTCAAATTGGAATGGAGGAGTGCAAGTTAAATCACTATGGAAGTTACACTCTAGAGAACGGGCCCTTTAGCCTGAAGTGAAGGATGTTCAAACTACGCCTCAGTTTTCATTAGAGGGATGAGAGAGATCAACCCCTTCATTAATTTTGTCCAAATGATAAAACGGCCTCGCCTTCCCCTTTGCTGGACACAACGCAAGTGATGAGTCATGAGAAGAATTACTTATTATTGACCCGAATGAAGTAGCAGACACTGAGTGGAGTCACTCACCCACCCACCATAAAACACGGACACCTTTCATGCCAGTTGTGCGACTGTAAAACCCGCTCCAGCCTGTCATTCCAGACCATTCCCCAGCCTCTGCTCCCTCAGAAAGGACTAATGAAACCAATAAAACAGAAATAATCCTTAAAACACCCAGGTCTTGCCTTTCATGATGACATCAAAACCAGTCCCATCTTAGTGTTCTTTCCTTTCAAAGAGCCACCAAAACCAATAAAATCAGAATTATTGTAGGAATTGCCCAGTTTTCTGCTCTGGTGAGAAATCTACACCCAACGCACAAAGCAGGAAGCACAGGACTGCACACAGAAATTAGTTTACAGATGCTCTGGAGACTCTGTTTTTACCTAATATTTAGTTCAAAAATATTAATTAATTATGTACATTTAATTTCTTTCACCATGCAAGCAACTGAGTATATTCAGTCTGGTTTCCCACATTCCATTTCAGGCAGTTCTGTGTTAGAAATATAAAAGCAAACAGGCAATAAAATGCCAGCAATGAGAATAAAATTACAGAGAAACTTAAATAAATTATTAAAAATTCAGAATAAATAAATAAACTATGAAAGTTTTGCAAGCACATGATAACCCCTCAAATGTGTTTTAAGGGGACAAAGACCAAGAGCAAATGAAGTTTGGTTTTTTTTTTAATCCAAAAAAAGAGATTACAATAATAAACTAAGGAGATGTATAAACTAATTAACGAGGGATTTTTCCCAACAAGTCTCAAGAGTTGCATTATAATTTTTCAGAGGAACCACACAAACCTCATGACACAGAACTGCTGGAGCTGAGCAGTAAAACACCAGAACAGGGCTCAGCAAACTTTGAGCACCAGGGAAGGCATGCAGGTAGATTTTTTAATAGCATGTGACATGAGTCCTAATTTTGGCCATGCCCTCACCCTGGCATCTGGAAAGGTTCATCTGTAAGAGGCAGAAATTCTCCTCACAGGGAGCTCTGAGTTCAGCAGGAGCTTTTGCCTCCCAGAGAGCCAACTGATGCTATCTTGCCTGAGCAGGGTAGTGTTCCTTTGTTCTGGAAAGTCTCTTGCCAGCAGATTTAAGCTGTAATTTGGAAAAGAAAAATACGGAATATTTGGAAAACAAAGAGACCAACTGGTATGATAAAAAATTGAGAGCAAGTCTACAGAAACTGTGGTGCAATCCAGGGTATCTATGTGGATTATTTCCACTCTCTCACCTACTTTTTGGTATATTTCTATCCCATCTCTTTAGTGTGTCCTGGGAGGTGGACAAGCTTAGAGATCTCCTTAAGAGATAGGTCAGCATCTCAGTAGCTTCTGCTGCTGATCCCAGGGAGAGGTGAGCGTGGCATAAATAATGCCTGATTTTAGGGGTCCTGGCTATTCTTTTTGGCTTTCTGATGAAGCAAATGGGAGGGGGGGAAGGGGAGGAGAAGAGTCACTTGAGGTGGTGATGAATAACACAAATTCCTGATCTCTTGAAGATGCCTGTTCCTTGGCATTAACTGAGAGGGAACAGACAGGGAGTAGCCCAACAGCTTCAGCATGAGACAGGCAATATGAAACCACCTCAAAAATGTCTCATATGCTGCTCTCCTGACCCCTGGAATGATCTTAGTAACTTATTCCATAATAATACATTCATTTCATGTATATTCTGATGCATCCACTGAAGTTTTGGTTGTTGTCTGCCAGGTTTATCCCTGCCTTTCATAATAACAGCAATTTTACCAGAAATTTTTGGGTGCTATTCCCTAGGGATTAGATATTATACGCTTCAGATTTTTAACTTGCCTCTCCACCTTAAAAATAAAACAACAACAACAAAATAGCACACAAAATCAAACAAGGTTCAGTCAAAACTTCAATGTTCTTCCCATATTTTTAGCACCTTTACTTGATGGGCCTATTTTTCTATGGTGCACCTTGTTTGAAGTATTTTATTCTGGTGGTTTTGGGGGTTTTTTATGTAAATAAGACGACACCATTAATTAACTTGTCTGCATGTTTGGGGGAGGCTGAGCAGACTGAGATACTTCAACTTCAAAAGAGATGGTTGAAAGGAGACATGCTTTAGGTCTATAAAATTAAGAGTTATCTGGAGACAATTAATAGGGTACAGTTCCTCACATTGTTTACAAGAACTCAGCAGCATAACAGGCAATAAAGAAGAAAGTACTATTTTTTCCCACACACAATATCCTCAGATATATCCTATAGTTTAATATAGATATGTCCTATAGTTTAATACTGCTGTTAGGAAATACTTTTGGGAGCTTGTTGCTAAGCCAAATAACATCTTTGTCCCACCAGTATCCCTCAGGAGGCAGCTACCCTGTGACTTACATTGCTTCTTCACACTACCCTTACCAAAGAATCGCTCCTCAGAGCAGTCAAGAATCCCAGCAGCCTCTGTTTCCCAAGCCCATCTACTCCTACAGGTAACACAATATTTTTCCAAGCCCTGATGTTACAGGAAATGCTTTGTTTACCCATGGCCTGGTTCCAGCATCGTTTGCAATAACACGCTTGCTCTTATTTGTCTTGTTCCTGGTGTGTTCTGTTCTGTTCATACAAATCAAGATGTTCCAGGCTCTGGGGCCAAGGCACAGAGAAATTGAATGTTGCAAAGCACTGTCTTGATCACCCCCCTAAAAAAAAACCCTAAATGCTTCTTTAACACAAAATTTCACAAATGTCATCAGCACAAGAGCGATCCTACTTAGTTGCCCTTCCCAGCACCTGTATTAAAACTATTTTTTTCCAGTTACTAAGGCAAGAAATGCCTAGAAAACATACTAGATATGTCACTCACCACACAGTTTTGGCCCCCAAATAATCTAACAAAGTAGATCAGACAATTAAATTTTAATTACCCCTCTGCCACTGTCAGTTTGATACTCTTTGTGGCCTTCAGTTTAAGCTTTCAGACACCGCCATAAATACCCACCAGCAGGATTTGAAGGTCTTGATTTCACTTTCTAAATTACTTTATTTGAAAGCCAGGTTAGAACTCCTATATGAGCTTTGAGAATTACCTGTACAAGTTACACAGTGTAAGGAGATTATTATAAACAACTGAGTGGAAATTTTAAGCATCACTGTACTTGTGCTATGGCAGTGAAAGTCAGAGTAATCACACACTATTTGGAAAATAGTCTATTTTTGGTTCTGAGGAGTCAAGCAGAAGAGGCTAAAATGCTTTTTTTTTCTCTCTCTCTAAAGCATCCTGATCTTCATGGCTCTCAAAAACAGCAAGACGGGGAGTTTGCCAGTCAGCGAGATTTACAATTTCATGACGGAACACTTTCCTTATTTTAAGGTGAGTTCCACTGGGAGGGGGGGGACTCTCCCTCTAAGCTTACCTTTCAGCAGAGGGAATAAGGGATGGGATTCCAGCTATGAAAAGGGATAATTTCTTAGGAGATTAACACCAAATCAGTGACACACTATATACATTCATGATCAAAAACTACCCATCATTTTACATGCAGGAAGAAATGTGGTAATATTTAACTCAAAAAGATATTAAGAACTGTTCCAGCTGTGCTTCTGGGTGTATAACAGTGGCCATTCCTTACTAACAACTCATAAAAAGAGTGAATAATTTTAAAAACACATTCACTCCTTCCTCTCAGATCTCAAATACAGGCAGAACTGGTCTTGTAGCTTCCTCTGCCATCAGCAGCACCTCCAGACTGGTGTGAAAGCAGAGGTTCCAGGTTATCTCACTGCATTCTGGAGCTGGGATATCCGTCTTGGGCAACAGCATCACTTGCATGCCCTCTCCCACGAAAAGTCTAATATATGATAAATGGTTCTAAGCTCATAATTACACCATGACGTTGGTGAAGGGAAGGGTGTATGGTTTGCAGCAGCGCTATTGAAATTTAAATCCATGGTACAAGGGAATGGTTCCTTGCACTTGGAATGCGAGTGGAAAGTGCTCAGTCAGCAAAGGATCCAAGAGCAGCAGGATTAGCTGAGATTTTTAAAAGAGCTGTAATGGAATCATCACCTGCTGATCTACATGGAGCTTTATTTCTGCTGATTCTTCAAAACCGTCTCGCTGAAGTCCAAAGCAGGTGACTTCAGCTATTAGCAAGGCCCAAAAATGAAAATAAAGCAAGTGAGTCTGTCCTGTTTCCTCTTGCAAATAGCCCTGCAGCAATTCAACCAAATTTGAAACAGCTAAAGCAAGGCAATTCAAACACTTATAATAAGAACATTGAGAATAGCTAAAAGTAAATGTTCTGATACAATTTTGCAATCGTTTTGGACACTAATTGAGGATAAATTGTGTGCACAAAAAAAAAAAATCTGTCAGTAATCAGAGAAAAATACACATTATGATAGAGGAAGAACTGTCAGGATCCATCATACTTCTCTGTTCCCAGATATCCTCACAAAAGAATCACTAACTACTCCATCATTTGTTACAAGCAAAAGAAGGGAGAAAAAAAAAAGACACCTAGCATCAGAAATCAGAAGTACTCAGTCCCAGTGGAATCCACAGAAAAACAACAACAGTTTCCAGCAGAGAGATGGGAATATTATTAATAATTTTTACAGGCATGTTCATGTTTATTCATCAGACCAAACTGAAATTAATTCCCCATTGTCTTACAACATAATTGATTATAAAAATTAATCAGTAGCTTCAAGCAAAATGCTGCTGCTGCTGCCAACACGGACAGAATCCCTCAGACTCAGGACTGTGGCTCTGCCAGGTGTCACCATCCTGGTCCTTCATGGTTTTTCAGAGGTTCATGTCTTTTTCTTAATTCATTTTAAAGTAGATGAGAATGAGGTTGCTGTTGCCACATGGATTACAGGGAAAGAATAGTGCAGGGGGTACTACTTGGTACAGAGGGTACAAAAGAAACATTCACTATTTTGTGACAGTTTTATTTTTGCATTTTACTTACAAATACAATCAAAAGTATTTGACTGTAACATCCTTAAAATGACCAAGGGAGAATAAGAAATCAAATATTACACAGACAGGCACTCAACCCTTTCTACCTCTGGCCTTTACAGCAGCCCACAGAATTATTAATATATGGCAAAAACTAATATCCTCTTTCATCTTTTTTTTTTTTTTTGAGAGTCTTCAGTGAGATAAAATAATACAAAAACCGGCAAAGAACATTTTGTTGTTGCTACCAGCACTCACTAACTAGCAGGATACAACAGGGATGGAAGCAACTGGAGAGAAAGAGAGTGCAAGTGTACACAGAATCTTGCTGGGAGACATTAGGTGATACAAGCCGAGTCAAATTAACTTGTATTCGCTGCCGCAGCAAATTTAGTTTCTATGATGCAACAATTTCATTTCTAGTTGAAACAGAGCAATCCAACTCCTACGTCCTAAAAAAAACATCTACACAGCTAAAGTTGAATTACCCTTTGATGTACCTCTCCCTTCTCTTGAGACCTAGATTTAAAGAGAAAGGGTTTTGCAAGATCACTGAACTCTTTAAGCATCAAGAGCTGGTCAGGATCAGTGGGGCTGGACAAAAATATTTCTTACCTGTCATCTTTTTCTTTATTTTTCTTTGTAGTGGTAAGTGGGTCTAACAGAAAGTTTTAATCTTGTTAACTGGAGTTAGTGCCAGTGGTCCAAGAGGCCAGAAAGGTCTGTGCTCTGATGGAACTTAGAGCAGCAAGTATTCAAGCACTGTAGATGTGGCACCTGGGGACCTGGGTTAGTTGTAGCCTTGGCAGTGTTGGGTTAATGGTTGGACTCAGTGATCTCAGGGGACTTTTCCAACCTTAATGATTCTGTGATTCTATGATTTCATTATTATAAAGCTTCATCCACATATGATGGATTCAGCATATCCAATATGCTGAAAGGCAGCAACATCAAAACCAAGCCATAGCAAGGAGATTCCAACCACACAGGAGCAACTTCAGTAACCAAAGCTCACTTATTAACAATCACATTCACTTAAAAAAAACGGTGTCAGAGTCGTAGCACAAACACACTGAGCGTTCCTTCAAGCCTTGCTTGGATAAATGAGTACTTAGCTCAGCTCAGCAATGCCAAGTTTAATGCAAGAACCTGTTGGGTTCCTGGCAGCAGCCTCCAAAAATCAACCCGTGTGCTTTTTTGCTCTTACGTTTCTAAAACCGTCTCACAGTTTACACCCCCACATGTTCTGAAAACCTCTGAGAAACCCGCGCCGCTCCCATCTTTGCAGAAACACTAATTATCCCGTCTAGATACAGACAGAGGTGTGTGTAGCCTCGTGTGCAGGGCAAGAAACATGAATATTCTTTCAGGTCAGCTTATTCAGTAGCTAAACACACAACTTACCTGGGAGGAACAGTTCTGTTCACTTTTGGAACTGGCAGAAAGCAACTTGAGTATGGTGTGCAAGGGAGAAAAAACTGATTCATCATGTTTGGTATGACCCTATGGCAGGAAGGGTTTTAAAAGCTTTGAGTTTGTTTTTTGGTTTTGTTTTCTTTTAATACAGTTTATGTTGTCTCACCTGTGAGACAGAATAGTGAAATGCTGACATCAGGTGGGCTAAAAGGGTAGAAACTATGCTGCTATGAAAAGAGAATAGTTTATTAGTAAATAACACATATTTAATTCCACACCTTTTTTTTTAATTAAGAAAACAATATTAAATTTGACCCTTAGCCCTTCAATAAGGCTTTGAACACCTCAACTCACATGATAGTTCTTTACAAGCTACAAAAGAACAGACTTTACATTCCTGATAAAAGTAGATAAGAAAATAAAATTCTGGTAAAAGAATTTCTATCAAAGTACGTTCAAAAGTTCACAGTGTGTCATGTGAAAGCAAAAATGGACACAACTCCATTTATAAAGGATAGTTTTAGAGGAAGTTTCTTGTACTAGGCAACAATGAAAGAAACTATCAAACTATCCAAAATCTGACTTTCTAAGCAAGGTGGATCCCTACTAATAAAGCATAAGAATGCAAAGAAAATTTAATGCACATAAAAGGGGAATTTTCATTTTTAACATTTCAGAAAAGGCTACAGAAACCCATATTTATTTCTTGTGGTCTTTGTTCAATAATTCTCTGGTTGATATAAACAGTTATGATGACAAATATTTTGCATCCATGAATATGAATCAGTAGACAGAGACAACTTCACCCACCTTTCTGAGAGTTGTTTAATTTCTTTCAACTATTATGACACAGAGATTAGGGGGTTTTTTGGAAACAAGAAAATAATCATTTTAATGATTCAGTTTAAAGAACCTTCCAGCTGCCACTGCTGAGTTAAAAATAAAGGCAAAGTACAGAGATGCAGTGATCAGATGTGGAAATCTGTATCTCATCTGCAGGGCTTGTGATTAAACCATTTGGTTATGTAATTGGCCAGCACACAAAGTTACACCTACAGGAGCACAATAAATTCTTTTGAAGTCTGCCTGGACATTGAATTCGAGTCCAGGTAGCACGTAGTGCTTTAATTAAGTGTTTGAAATATTGCTTGGTGTTCCAAAATAGTTTCCGATAGAACTCCTGTTAGCTCACAGCTCTAGAACATAATTCTTAAGACACAATTCCTGTGATTTTCAATATCCACTCTTAAAAATCTAGCAGGCCTCTGACAACCTTTTTGCTTAGAAGATCAGTTACTGTTTTATCTGATCCCTCTCTTCCCACACGACATGACTGTAACATTTTTGTGGCTTCCTTCTAACATACAAGTTTCTCATGGCAGAAGGTACAAACTAAACAGCATTTCTTACAACCTCACCAGTCAAAACAGAGATATACATATTTATTTTCTTTTGTTTTTTTTTCTTTTGTCCTTGAAGTCCCATTCTTACACTGGATTTGTTTCTCCAGACAGCTCCAGATGGCTGGAAGAATTCCGTGCGCCACAACTTATCTTTGAACAAATGCTTTGAGAAAGTTGAAAACAAGTCAGGCAATTCCTCTCGGAAAGGCTGCTTGTGGGCTCTGAACCCAGCCAAGATTGATAAGATGCAGGAGGAGCTACAGAAATGGAAGAGGAAAGACCCAGTTGCTGTAAGGAAGAGTATGGCAAAGCCAGGTCAGTGATGTGTTAGTTCTCCAACAGTGCTGCCCAGAACTTTTCTTTGTAACAGGCACCAAGCTGTGCAAGAGAATTAATACAGGACTTAGGAAGGCATTTAAGGATTTTTTTTCCTGGTTATAAGATGATTGGCAAAACAAACAAAAGAACCAAACCAAAACAAACCAAAACAAAAATTAGAAAGCAGAATTAAACAAGACCTAGTTTTGTAGGCGTTTCCAAATAAGCAAAGAAGTTTCACCAAGAAAATATTCTCTCTTGACATCTCACTAAACTTCAAGATAAAAGGTTGGACGGGGCTTGGAGCAACTTGGTCTAGTGGAAGGTGTCCCTGCTAAGGCTGAAATGAGATGATATTTAAGGTCACTTCCAACCCAAACCATTCTGTGATTCTATGATAAAAACACTGAAATAAGTACTATAGAAGAGCTGAAATTAATTTATAAGTATCCAACCTTTAAACACAAAAATGGAATTTATTATATACTCACTTGGCAGTGATAATTTAAGAAAACATTTCAGCCTTTTGGAGTTCTTATCATACATGTGAGCTAATGCTTTTGTTTGCCATCCTGAATAACACTCCTGCTGCAAGCTATGGGGATCAAGGCTCTGTTGGGGGTAAGTCAGTCATGGACTTGTTTCTTGTTTTCCAGAGGAACTTGACACCCTGATAGGCGACAAAAGCGAGAAGCTGAGATCTTCCCTCATGTCCTGCAGCCCGACGGGCGTTGCAGGTGCCTCCCTTTCCAGGCAGATGGCAGCCCAATCCCATTCCTTATGCGAGCCCTCCCTCTCCTCCGGGATCCCACAGCCATTACACAGCATCCACGCCTCGGGAGTTCTGCATGCCAACAAGAACGCTTTGCCCAATTTACTGGGGGGGCAGCAGCCTCCGTGCTACACATCCCCACAGGGCTTCCCCCAAATCCCAAATGCACTGATGCAACAGACACCGGACCCTCAGAGCCTGTTTCCTTCTGGGGAGGCTCAAAGCGAGCTCCGAACTCAGCCCAGCATCACTCAGGACTCCCCGCTGCCGGCGCAGACCCCCCCAAACTGTGGGATGAAGATGCTGCCGGAGCATTCCACAGCCAGGACAGTGCAGGACACGCTCATGCCGGAGGGAGACCTCAGCAATGACATCGATGCTCTTAATCCATCCCTGACTGATTTTGATCTCCAAGGTTGGTATCTAAGGTATTCTTATCTTGTAGATTCAGGCTTATTACATCTCATCCCATCACATCCCAACCCATCACCTACCAACCTTTTGTGACCATTTTTTTTAACTACTTCTTCTTGCCACTGCTACAAAAAACACCTTAACTAGGTTACATTACATACACAACATGCAATACTGCATTAAATCTTTAAAAAGTTTCCCAAGAAAGCCACCTATTTACATGCAGAGTTTCAAAAACATCCCTGCTTCCTCTTGGCTACAATTGCCAATATTAAGTATTGCAACACAGTATTTAGAATGTATTTTTAAATTCAGATGTATATTCCACTAGAAAGGACTCAAGCACAACTATTTAGTGCAATTCTTACAAGGGAATTGCCATGTGAAGGGAAATAAGAGAAATAATGTTTATCAAATTAACAGGTTAACTTCCTTTCGTCAATATTTATTCAAACCCTTTCCACATCTCTGCTCCAACAAATGTTATTTCCCCCTTCCTGAGGCATCATATGACTTGTGCCCTGGACAATTATATTTTCTGAGGTGTGTTCTCATACACTTAATCATGTAATGCTGACAGTAATTTTTTAAACATTAAATAATTGAATCATCTGGGCTGGATGGGATTTTGAACATTAAGAACACAGCTTTTCATGCAAAACCAAGAAAAAAACCACCATGTATTTATACATATATACACATATATATACACATATATATACATATATACATATATGTGTGCGAATATATATGTAAATATATATGTAAATGTATAATAAATATATATACATTTATATATACACATTTATATAAATCCTGTGGGTTCCAAATTATAAAGCTCCTGTTGCACCAAATAACATGCCAGAATTTCCTTCCTGCACAAACAAAAAGTGGTTACATAAATCAACCTAAAAGACAGGGCAAAATAAATGCAGTTTCAATAATCTACATGACTCAGCAAATGCCACTGCCATTCATTCCACTGTCACAAATATTTCCCAGTCCTGCCATGCCCAGATTGTTTTACGGAGACTGACACCACATTCCACTCGTTTCCTGGGACCTCTTTCCATTTTATTCGATTAATCTGAAGCACATGCTCTGGTAGTGTGAATATTCTCTGTGCTTCATCAGTATGGTAACCACTCCACCTTCCCTCTGGCCTAGCCCTTTAGCTAAAATTGTTTAACTTTATCTATGCTTTTTAATTTCTTTCTTTATAAAATGATCAAATCTCTAATCAGAGACCCTAAAACTTAAGATAAGGCCTGCACACTACTTCTACCAGAAGGGCTAAGTATGATCCCATATCTTCCTTTTGTCATAGAGATGAGAGGTACTTTCCTGGTCCAAAATTAATGTGGGGTTTGTTTGGTTTTTTTTAAATAGAAGTTATTCTTCATAAATATATGTTTTTAACAGAATATTGCAAATTATCAAGAGAAATAATTTTCTTAGGTGTATGCTGTTTTCTCCCAAATTTAAATTTATTACACAGACAGACAAATAAAAACTACCTAAACAATCTTTTTTCTTCCTCAGTCCCAAAGGTTTAAGAGCACCTACAAAGGTTTAAAGCACACACAACTGTTTAATTACCAACTTCTCCTGTAACACAATGTTTGAAAAATTGAATATAGAGAAATTTATAGGATATAATACGAAGAAATATGAATCAATCCATTAATCAAGGTGTTTTGTTTTGTTGTAGGGAATCTTTGGGAGGAGCTAAAAGATGACAGCCTTGCTGTGGATCCCCTTGTCCTCATTTCATCATCCCCAGCGTCTTCCCAGTGTTTCCCCTCTCACTGCCAGCTGGAGAACAGCAGCAACGTCCCCATCCCAAACGGAACTCCACATGGAAATGTCTCCGACCTCCAGCTCACTACCCTGTACTCTGCCTTTATGGAATTGGATACAGTGTCTCCTGCCTACCTAAGTAATCCTGGATCCAAACCTATAGCACTAATGTGAACCACGTGCCAACCTAATTATTATTATTTTGTCGAAGTCCAGTCCTAACCATCACACACTTCCCTATCTGATTGATGTCAGCTGAGATGGTGTCCATGGGAATAAGAATAATCTTCTTTCCAGAACTCTCCCGCAGGATATGTAGCTTTCCTATAATAATTTTCTACAGACAGACACTAAAAAAAAAAATGTAAAATACTATTTAAAGATAATATTGTTAACAGCTGAACTTGTCAACACCATTTTATCAAGCCACTCATCTTCTGCATCTTCCAGAAACAAATGACCCTAAGAGGAAAACAAATTATTGACTTTTTTTTTTCTTTTTTTCTTTAATGAAAGCTGCTTGCAAATGAACTCAGAACTCACAGCACACAACAATCTAACTTATTTCTTGGAGCCAATGACGGCAATATCATCCACCACAGACCACTCAAAATAAAAAATCTACATGTTAAAACAGTTATAGTCCCCTTGAAAGCAGTTCTGGGTTTTGGTAAATAAGAACGTGAACTGAAAATTCTCCAAGTATTAGAAGATAGAGGACAAGCTGCTGACAGACTAAACCAAAGCAACAAATATACTTCAGTGAAAAAATATCTAAGTTTTACTGTATTTAAAAAGAAATTTTAAAGTCTGCTTTTTTTAATAAAAAAGAAAAAACTATTTAGTAGAATTTTTACTTGGCTGGAAATTACTCCTATCCATTCTTCTATCTTTTGCCCCATAAGCTGAACAGTAACATGAATTATTCAACCATTAAATGAAGATTTTTGAAAATGCTAATAAAAAAAAAACAATAATTGCTGCAGTTGGCCAAATCCAGAGAGCATCTCTAGTTTAACTTCCAGCTGCATTCAATATATCCAACCTGATTTATTACAACACTGAACCAGCTGAACCAGCCCTTGCATTAGGATAATGTCTAATTCCTACCATGAACTAAAGTAAGGCATTCCAGTAGCCAGTTTCTCAGGAACACTCTTCTCCCTCTGATTTTCCAAAGGGGCTGCTTGTACAATAAAATCATAAAATTATTTCAAATGATGCAAACTAAACCCAAAGCGATCTGGAGCGGGAACCTTCTGAAGAAAATAGTCTAGAAGCCAAAAAAAATATCAGTGTCTTGAATGACAGGTTTCCCAGAGAAGCTGTGGCTGCCCCATCCCTGGGGCTGGGCTGGACAGGCCTTGGAGCAACCTGGCCTAGTGGAAGCTGTCCCTGCCCGGGGCAAGGGGTGGAATGAGATGATCTTTAAGGTCCTTTCCAACCCAACCCATTCTGTGATTCTACGATCTTTGACAACAGAGTATGTCAATTCAAACTGAAACAAGGAGGACAAGATTTGGGTCAGATTGGGTCATTTACACTATGGAAAAGCAGGGAGGAATAGCCAAGGATAGCACAGAGAGATGGAATTGTTAAAATAAAGACATGCAGGTTTAATTAGCCGTCGCCCCACTGCAAGGTGGGAGCACTGCCCACTCAGACCGATGCCAAACACAGGTCCAAATCTACACCCTCATCTGTGCCTACTAGCCCAGACTTAAAATCAGATTAGGGGCAGACGGATAAAGGCGACTTAGGAAGAATACATGTGATGCAGCTTTGTAATCCCTCACGCAACTACCAAGAAATCCTCACTTGACTCGAGCTCCTCTTCCTTGGCCTCCTGCAAAGGGAATACACAGCGAAAGAAATTCAGTCAAGTTGGCCAAGCTGCTCCATGAAAAAAACAAAGAGCAGGATGAGAGTTATGCAAACACACCAGAGCTGGGGAATCCGTTCTTGACCATCCTAAAGTTTAGGTAAAGGAAAAAATTAAGTATCCCATGTCAAAATAAATGTGAATATTAAATGATAAGCTTAGAGCACATAGTAAGTGTAAAGTTGCTAAACAGTATATATATATATAGTGGGTTTTATATAGTATTATATATACTACATATATGTATTATATACAGTATATATAAAATACTATATAACAGTGAATATGTATATAACTCTATATATAACACTATATATAACACAGTGTATATATATATATAACACTATATATTAACACAGTATATATATATCACACACTATATTATATATATAGTATTATATATATATATATATATATATATACAGTGTAATTTAAGAGTAACCAACATACAAACAAATACTTACCAAGTACAAACTGTAAGAGGGATAATATTATCCTAGGCACCTTTTTTTTTTTAAAAAAGGCATCAAATAAACATCCATCCTAATACAGGATGCCCTGTGCTCAGGCAGTGGTTTCATACGCCCATGGCCCTGCAGCACACGGCTACTATGATGCCTTAAAATATGTCAACATCACCCTTAAGCCAAAAATATATTCCACATTTTTGACCACACACATGATCACAAGCTGGACGGGGAAGAAGAAATAGAGGAGAAATCTAAGTGTAAGATGGTATTTTATATTTTTCTTGCTAATAAGGCTTTGAAGAATGATCAGGCATAAGAAAGAAAAGGGAAAAAACACTTGACATGTTTTTTCTTGTGTTTTGCTTGACTTTCTTGAACATGCTGTATCCACATAAGAGAGGCTTGTCCTCCCTATATAAAGTTATTTATCTTAGCATCTTAAAGTATTTTCTCCAATGCATTCCACATTTAATGGAATTAAATTAATGGTTGGACATTTCACACAAGTTATAAAAAAAATCCTGTAATGACTTTTATTTTAAAAGAGTCATGTTTAACACAAACAAACAAACAAGACTGCAAGTTATTGAATAATATAAATTGTCTGGGTTTGGGTTTCCCTTCCTGCTCCACTTAAGGTTCCTACATCCGGAATTTTATTGTCTTGCTTCAGTTTAGCATTAATAGTTTAGGTAGAGACAAAAAAACCCAAAACATTGAAATATGGGTCCATGAGGAAAGAGTTATACTATAAATTACAATTCTGGACCAATTATCAAAAAAAAAAAAAAAAAAAGGAAGAAGCTAACGAATACATTAATTGATCTACTTTTATTATATACAAGAATAACCCTCACCTTGTGCAATCCTTATTTTTTACTTTTGACATAGCTTTTGACAGACTGATAGACATTTTCTTAGAGCTCCTAGAGCTGGTGACACCTTACTTTGTACCTACCATAAAATAAGTATTTTGCACACACTGCAAATCTATTTCAGACACATTTGCATTAAATTCCATTTTAAGTAGCACTCTGAAAACAGGGATAAAGGAAGGAAAGAATGAAGTTTTCCCAGTCCAAGGCTAATGGTGTTTGCTTAATCAGCCTCTTCTAAACACATTATGCAAACCTGTCTAGGAAAAAAAATAACCTTAAGTCTAATTACCATAAAAATATCTTATTACCAAACAGAAGAAAGTGCTCACTGCTGCCCTCTTCAGCATATGATTAGGAAAAATTTGCATTCTAAAGTTTGGGATTTATTAGTTTAACCTTTTTTTTATTTCATGTTTAATTGAAACTTCAAAAAAATTCAAATAACAGTTTACATTGGAGCAATGTTTTGAAGCTCTTTTGTCACAAGCCCAAATTGACCATTACAAGACTTCTGGCTAAAGTAAAGATTTCTGCCTCCCCTGTCTTCCTGTTCTTGGCATAAACCCATCACCCCTGAACATTCATTTGCTTGCTTTTGTTGAGACAGTTCTCAGATACATTCATCTCTCTGCTCAGTCTTTCACACCCCTGGCACAGCACTGAGCTACTTAAACCCAACAGGAATTATGGAACAGATAAACCACTTTTTACTTTACGTCTCTAACTTGGTACACAAAGCTTGAAAAGTGCAACTGACTTATTGGCACTTTCTCGTAAGTTTAAATTACTGTCTGGAACAAATATTTGGATTCCAGAATTTAGTTGACCAGGACTGCTGCTCCATTTTTATGCTTCAGACATCCAGATCTTTGTATAAGTGTTTGTGTTTAGACTATTAAATATCAAAATCAAAAAACACTTCATGTAAGCTTTTTCTGACCCATTAATCCATTTCTAGTCTAACACAAACAAACCCAAAACACTCAGTAGTGGAATTGTCTGGTTCACCATGCATTCCCTCTCTACAGTGATGTAAAAGGAAGCTTTAATGAAGCATTTCTCATGTGTGGTCACAGCAAAAATTTAATGGAGAACTACTCAAATAAGGAATGATGGAATTAGTTCATAGAACAAAATTTAAATGCAGTCTGTTTAGAAGCAGAAAAGTGATTTTTTGGGGGGTTTTTTTTTGTTTGTTTGTTTGTTTTGGTTTTTTTTGTTTGTTTTTTTTTTGTTTGAAGAAACAAACATGCACAAATATTTGTTTTTATGGAAAATACTGAAATCACTTAAAATTATCAGCATTAATGCATATGGGATTTATTTCCCTAGGGGCTCTCATTCAGCTGGTGCATTGAAAAATCTCACATATTAGATATGAACATAACAAATGTTAACAGGACTACGAACTACAAGATCCCAGCAAACAGCCACCATCATGACACCATCTCCCTCACAGTGGTGAGCAACTGATGATGGTGCCCTTCAGTATTTTATAATGATGATTTTTTTGTCTTTTGTTATCATAGAATCCCATCATGGTTTGGATTGGAAGGGACCTTAAAGACCATCTTGTTCCAACACCTTCCACCAGGCCAGGTTGCTCCAAGCCCCATCTAACCTGGCTTTGGACTCTTCCAGGGATGGGGAAGCCACAGCAACTGGGCAACCTGTGCCAGGGTCTCCCCACCCTCAGAGGGAAGAATTTCTTCCTCCTATCTAATCTAACCCTGCCCTCTGTCAGCTTGAAGCCATTTCCCCTTGTCCTGTCACTCCAGGTCCTTGTCCAAATCCCTTCCCCAGCTCTCTTGGAGCTCCCTTAGATACTGAAAGGCCACAGTAAGTTCACCCCATTTTGGTGCTCAGATGAGCGGAAGAATCCTGTTCTGAATCAATCCAGTTTTGACCTGGGTGGAGAAGAGGCCCAGTGAAACCATTAAAGATTTATTCCTGACAGAACCAATTAGGCCCGGCTGCGCAGCAAAGACCTTAATTAGTCACATGACTCAAATTCTTTACTCATGCAATTGGCACCAGGAAATTATTTACAGCAGCAGCACAGGCAGAGCAGATGGACTGTGGTTGTCATGAGGGGATGCACCAAGACCCACTGAGCGCTCAGGTAGAAGCACACCAGTCACAAAAACACCGCAGAAGGGAATTCACATCATTTGGATGAACAAAGAATTCAAGATCTCTCTCCTCAGGAAGCGACTGAAGAATTTAACTTCAACCACACGAATAAGCCCAGCATGTTCGGGCCTGTTGGAGGCACTAGGCCTAAACGATTACTTAAGGCATTTATTATACTTACCCTTCCCTCTAGACCGACTTTAAAACATAAAAAAAAAAACTAAAACAGATGGAAAAAAAATTTTGTACCAAATATCCAGTTAATCTAAGGAGAAAACTGCGATGCTTATTTGGCATTAAAGGCCAAAAAAAAAAAAGTGCAAATTTTAGCTTTGGCTGGAAATGATCTTTCTCATTTTAACATATCTTACAGAAATTTAAACATTGGCTGAAATAATAGTTCTTAAAGTTATCTGAGTGGAAACAGTTGTGCTCATGTTTCCTCCAAACATTTTGCCAGCCAGCCACAGGAAGCGTATCCATGTGTTTGTCAGCTGCAAAGAACACTTCTGCACTGTTATTTCAAATTTAGGTTGTGACCAATGCCAGCAGATTAATTCCAGTGGGGGAACATCCTTTAAATGGGACATCTCAGTGCTAAAAGAGTCTTGTGTGTCTGGGGCAGAGAGTTTGATTCCTCTGAACTTACAGTCAGGTCTCTGCTCACACTTTAATTTTAGGGGTTATAGTGAACCCTCTGGTCTCCTGACTTATGAACCTGTACAGACATCAAAGCAGTCAGCAGGCTTAATTAGACACTTAATTATAGATCAGGGTGGTAAGGAATGCATTTGGGAAATAAAAACATGATTTTTAAAGCCAGCTGAATGCCAGTGTGGAGAGTAACACTGGCAGAACGACAGTGCGCGGTGCCCTTCACATCATTCATAAAAACAGGGTTTGGGGTTGAGCTTTGGTTTTGGTGGTTGGGGGTTTTTTAACTAAAAAGAGATTCTAGATATTTCTAGCTTTCAGGTCTGGCACATTAGCACCTTTCATAGGTGAAACAGGGTCTGTACATCCACCTCTCCTCTTGGCTGCATGTGCAAGGAAATGCACTTTACCAGTCTGAGATTCTACAGAAAACTTTACTTCTGACTGCCAGATGTTCCCCTTTCCCCGAGCTTTGCTACTCCCATTTTTGCCTTTCCTTCACTGGAAACAAAAGCTACACACACTTCTGTAGCCAAGGAAGTGCAAGAAGTACAGCAAGAAGGCAGGGACACCTTCCCCTAGACCAGGTTGCTCTAAGCCCCATCCAACCTGGCCTTGGACACTTCCAGGGATGGAGCAGCCACAGATTCTCTGGGCAACCTGTGCCAGAGCCTCACCATCCTCATTGGGAAGAATTTCATCCTTATAATAATCTATCCAGTTTGCTATTCCCCTTTTCTGATTCATCCTGTCATTCCACAGGAAGAACTGAAAATGTTTAGGACTCTTCTCTCCCATCTGTGTTATCTTCCTTTCATAAAGTAAATTTAATTATGTGTTTTCTCTACTGCTGTTTGGAACTTCCCTGTTTTTATTTCTTGCTACTTTCATAGGCAGCTTCATTAACATGGTTTACACCCTCCACTAGAATAATTAAATTATTCTTAAATAACCCAGGCCTTTGTTATTTAAGGTCCCATGTCAGTTTTCAAAATAATGGCTGGGAATCATCCAACTGCAATTATGCTCTACCTACCTAAATTCTCTTTGTAGTTTTAATTAAAATACATTATCCAGTATGATTTCACCTCCTATTTTAAGTTCTTGTACAGCACTGGTTAAGGAAAAAAAAATTATCTCTGCAAAGCAATTACTCCTTTTTGCGGACTTAAATATGGAGAGTAAATACTTTTGGTTTATCCTAGCATGCAATGAGAGAGACTTCAGTAATCTCTAAAATTATCTTTAAAATAAGATACATTGTCTTACAGGGAAAAATTGAGGAACTTGGACTATTTTATCACTGAGAAGTGTTCTTCCTACAAGTGAGAAAGGTTAAGGGAAAGCAGGTCACTGACAAATGAATGCCCTTGAACAATGACAAATAAAATAGAAACATGGGGTGAACACATAAGATTTGCCACAATAACTAAGCAGCTGACAAATGCCATAAGAAATAAGAATCTGAGGAAAAGCAGAGAACATCTCCAGGATGATGAGGCATATTTATTAATAAATGAGGCTGACATACCAGCTAAAGGGGAAAAAAAAAAAAAAAAAAAAAAAAAAAAAAAAAAAAAAAAAAAAAAAAAAAAAAAAAAAAAAAAAAAGCATTGGTAATGCAGTATATTTTTGGCAGACATTTAACACTGGGGAGTTTTCACAGGAATAAAATTTGGAATTTTTTTTTTTTTAAGGTTCTTTTCAATCTCAGAAGATTTCTAAGCAAGTCCAGGTAATTATACTTGAGTATCAAAATCAGAGAGTTTAACCTGCCTTATTAGAGTTACCAGCACCGATTTTGCTCTCTCTTCTCTTTAGGTATTCAGTGAAATCAGTTTCAAGAATTCTAAGAAAATAGACCTGATGCTTCCAGCTGTTCAGGTAATTCCAAGAGGAAGTTTAATCAGCAGATAACATCTCACCACAGAGAACAGGTCCAGGCAAAGCCTCTGATTTGGGAGAGCCTGTAAGAGAACTGATGTCACACTCAAAGTGTATCTTCAGCTGAAAAAGTCACATTACAAACCTGTGCTCAGGTATCCACCTCGTTGCAGAGCTCAGTCCAGGCGTTTCATGCAGCTCCAAGTAATAATCCAAAAGGTAAAGCTTCGTATTAATAAATTTCTTCCCCAAATTTCAGCACACACTGTGGGATTCTGTGTTATTATGAAGTCCCCAGTAATTCTGTGGAATCAAAATGAATTATAGAAGATGTTTTCAAACAAAAACATCCTACTTCTTTTCATCTGGGAGTTGGTAAATTGTTCTACTCACAGAGAAAAAAAGAGATATTCCCAGGAATTTCTGACTAAAATATCAAAGCCATCAAGGTGGAATTACCCCCATACACCTCATTACAGCCTGAGAAGCTGGTTCCATTAATGTAATCAATATTAATTTCTTTTAATTACATCCCAAGATATTTTCTCAATCTGAAAGCTGAATCCCACTTAAACACTTTTAATGTGATGGTTTTACTGACACAACTACCCAAACCACTGCAGAGTTTTCCCACGTTTACAATCATCAAAATCTGAAGCTGGTTGCGTACATTTGCACAAAACTGGAGTTCAGATATTGATGGAAGAGGCCTGAAATAAAAGTCTGAATGTTTTACATGTGCTAATATAAATATTTAAACAAAACAGACAATCACCCTCATTTCTAGGATCAATAATTTATTTATTTAATTTTTTTTTTTACATTTTGCAATTTGTTACAGGAGAAGAAACACCTGCTAACGGATGTGACATGTTTTTGAACCATTTTCCAAGGTAATGGAAAAAGATAAGCTTATTCCCTAGTATGCACATTGATGACTAAGCTGCCAATATGAAATCAATTTAAGCAAGTGCAGTCCCTATTTAACCTTTGTATAAATTAATTTTAGGACTCTCCTTCTCCTACAGGAAGACTAAATTGTAGCATCTAATTTTTTTTTTTTTATCCTAAAGTCTCAATCTTTGCTCTCTCTACATATCTATCAGCAGTAAGTCAGTTTAGTGACTGAAGCCAAAGCCACAGAAGTGGATTCCGTGCCAAGGTTCCTTTTATTCCTGGTTATCTACTCAGTTCCCTACTGTCCCAAAAGGAAACAAAAGACTCCCAGTTTTCTGAAAACCAGATTCTCTGCATGACAGTGCATTGCTTTGCCACAGGACGGGCCACAGTGGATGTTCTCCTAGCAAACAAATCAGGTAACTAACAAGTACAAAGAATTAGAAATTAACTCGGTAAAAATGCTTCTAACATTTTCCCAGTGGTGTAGTAACTAGAATCCTACTCTCGTTCCACAAAAAATAGATATATAATTTTTTATAAATACATTTTAATACAGACAACTCTGCTGCTGCTATGCCAAAAAAAAAAGTCGATGTCACATTCAAACAGGTTTGCTGGGTGTATTAAGATACAAGCAGACATCACAGCAGGCAGGGACACAGGGGTTGGAGGGAGGCTACAGACACACAAACACCATTTCACCCGCTGGGTCACACTGACCAGTGACATAGAAAACAACTGAGCTGCAGCGTGAGACCTAGAGCATCACACTCTTCAAATACTTCAAATATTTCCATGTACAGAAAATGATACGAACGGTGAATGACATTTAATATTAATATTGAAGCATTTCTATGAATTTAGGTAGTGCTTACGCTGGGGGTACAGAGAAGAACCACGAAACGAGGCTCCCAGCTGACTCAGACTCAAGAGAAAAATGCGTTTGCACTCACCACGGGCTTGAATCTCTTGGGTCCAAACAGCCGAAATTAATTCTTTTCCTGTCCTTGTCCCCTTTTCCCCCCATTTTTTTCCCCCTCAAAGAGTCAGTGCACATAAATCTACCCAGCTTTTGTGCCATGCACACACATTTCCAGCTGCTCCCCCGCACGCCCGAAATCATCTCTATAGTTTCCTTCCTAACCAGATCTAATTAAAACTGAGCTGTTAACCATCTTTTGCAGGTTATGAATAATTAATAGAGTATTTTTATAATACTTATTAAGTATGGCTGTAGGATATTAGCATTTTCTTACCTTAAATAGCCCCCCATCTTTGCATGACTAAGAGTTCTGTATAATTTTGTTACATAGATTGGAATTTATTTATTATGGGTCGATATGTAGCACTATTTCTCAATAGACTTTAATAGCCTTTTCTCAAACTGAAGGTATTTGGAAGTTGGTAGCCTGCATGTTTCACACACAGCCAGCCATCACTGTGACACTCTACACAGGATTTTGGAATGAAACTCAAACAGAGGATAGAGGTGGAAAATAGAGCATCTTACTGACCTTCTCAAAAACAAGACATAGAGAGAGATTGTGAGCAAGAACTAAACCCCAACACATTGTTTTCAAGCCTACAGAGACTTCCTACATTAAATAAAATAAATAAATAAATCCTTTGGAGTCAGGGAGAGTGGATCATTCAGTTATTCCATAAATGTCACCACATAGAGGATAATTCACTGAAACAATTTTGGCTTTTGCCACAGAAAGTTTCTAGAGTTTAAACCACAGTTGATGCGTTAATTTTAAAAATAAATTGTTCTCTTCCTGCCACGGAAGTGTGAATAAATAGAGCAAGCAGCATGGCAGCTCACCACCAATGTATTACTGCTGCTTCTCTTAAAAAAACCTGACATTTCAAGGAATCCAAGGCTGACAACGTGAAAAAATGTGTCGAGTTATAATTTCCTTGAAAGAACGCGTTGAGCTATAATTTCCCTGTCTCTCAGAAAAATTATGTCACTATTAGCACTCACAGAGACTTAGTTTCTGTTTCCAAGATTAAGTCACTCTGTAAAGCACACACATAATCCTGTCTTATGACAGGAAACAGCAGGGCATTATTAGCAGATAATCTTGGTTAGCTCTTAGATGTTTTCTTTCACTTTCAGAAAGTCACATCCCGAATTGCCAGGCTGGCTTGTTAAAATAGAGTTGCAGTGCTAATTAAAGCAATGTTTAAAATAGGCCCAAGGAAGAAAATACAAGAATTCCTTTTTTTCCAGAGCCATTACTCGGTGATTTCGCAATGAAATTCCAAAGTAAACCCCAAATAATTAATATTAAAATACCAAATAATTAACTAGCCCAGGAGATTAACAAATTCTTCTCTGAACAAGAGATTAACAAATTCTTCTCTGAACAAGGCTGCTAAGATTTAATTTTTCAACCGGTTTATAGTAAGAATCAACTGCCAATTTAAGGGGAAAAAATGTGGGTTTCACTTTACAGCTTATCTGATTCCCACAAGTTTGTAAAGATTGTGGATGTAGATGACCTTAAAGAAATGCTAACAAGGTCTTTCCAAGTAAAACAGGGAGATAACAGTCGTAACTGCTCCAGTGGAACACAGCAAAAAGCACCTTCATTACACTTCCCACAGAAAGTTTTGTTGTTTGCCATGGTTTTAAGAATCAGAATTTGTTATTTGTAGCAAACTCTGGGGACTTTTAAAACAAGTAAAATTCCTCCAACTTTAACTAAAGCTACAATAGGTTGAAATTAATTTTATTGGAAACGTCCAATATTTGTTTCTGGTTTAAAATATTCCTAATAACACTAGACAACAAATTGGCTCAGTAAAGTATCTCCTATATGATTCACACCAAATTTTCTGTTAGTCTGGAATTACTACCCACAGAATATGAACTACCAGATTTCAGGAGATCAGCAGCAGATAATTCATACTGTTTTGTTTCACCTCAAACCTACCGTAAAATGCAGTGTCAGAAAGTCCATCCAACAACACACTGCCCTCTTGGGGACAGGGTGACTTTCTCTTGGTTCTTTTATAAAAGGCGTGTCTACCACTCAAGTTTCCATTGATTACAGTAATATTTTTATGGAATTCTTTTGGTTTTGAAATCCAAAGTCTTAAAAGGAGCAGAACATGACTATTGCAAGTGACAACAATGTGCTGTACAGAGAGGAAACTCTGTACACTGACCCAAGAGTCCACACCAAAGTATAACTAATGTCACCAAGACATCCTGAGATGTATATTTCCATACCAAATATATGGTTGGCAATTCTGGGCAAGTACTATTCCTAACAGTCTTTTAAAAATCTTATGAACAGCAGGTGAAAAATACCACCAAAAAAACCCTGTGCAGGGTGTTAATTATAAACACATATACTCTCTTCTGTCTCTAAATCAACATATTTTCTCCTTCAAGAGTTGAAACAAAATTCAGAAAAACATTTAAACTTGCAAAATGTCATTGTATATAGGCCAGTTTAACAGCCTGGATGCAAAAAGAGAGGGGGGGGGGATAACAAAATTTTTGAAACTATTTTCACCATCAGTAATTATTGTGCTGTAAAATCAATGATCAGTAGCTCAGAGCATTATATAAATAATGAGGAAATTCTTTGTATCTCTCAAACAGATCAGTCAGCCACAGGCTAGCTGTATGATTTAATACACTAAAGACAAAAAATAGTGATAAATACAAGTCTCATTGCGATAAGAATTACTACAACTACTAGTTGTGTAAAATCAGTGAATTTTACATACTTTCGTAGCTACCAAGCTTAATAAAAACTCTGTGCTGTAACCTAAACTCACCGTGTTTTCTTTAGAAAACTGCATCCTCTCTCAGAATTCAAGAAAGCCAAGCCAAATACAACCTGTGACACATTTAACAGTGACCACAACCCCAACAAGAGCACAAAAACCTCCCTGTTCTTAGGCAGACGGCTACACTTGGATTCGTAATCCTGTTTGACGTAGGCTGCAACTAAAAAGATGCTCAGCACAACTGGAAATGGTATTTTGTAAAAATTATTACAATCACACCTACCCGAGGCTAACATAGAATGGTCCACTTCAACTCACAGAATTAGACATGGAGACATCAAGTATTTATAGAAATATCTACAAACTTCAACTGCCTTTTTTTTTTTCTTTTTTTTTTTTTTGAAGTATCAGTGAACTGACCTTTAGAGTAGGGGTTTCATGACAACAGGCCACCCCATACTGGTTTATTCTTGGTGCTGTTACTTCTTGGGCAAAATTTGTCTTAAACTTCTTCCAGAGTCTGAAGAGAGAGCTCTTGCTAATTTTTTTCCTGTGCTTTAACTCGTACACTATTAGACTGTTTCACCTGTATTAATTATCCATGTGAAACATTTCTAACAAAGGGAAAGCACTGTCATAACATTCTTTAAATGCAGATACAAATAGAATATTGGAAAACCCACACTCTCCAGCTGCCATAGACAAAAGAAAGTGTTGCTCTAACAAGCAGTGCTGAAGCCCTTATCTTGGTATCGAGCAGAGGCAAAAAAAAAATAGACATGGAAATGTGTAGCATGAATAGGCTGAACGTTAGCTATGTGAAAATGTTAAATAAAGCTAAAATCCTTCCATTTTTCCTGATTATTCTGCAAAACCTGAAATGAATGGAAGGTACTTATGGAGGTTCATAGACCCACAATGCTAATTTACCTTCATCTGAAATGTGGAAGGACATTACCCAATTAAAACAGCTCTGTCATTGAACTACTGGTCTTCATTGCAAGCTTTGGCATTTCCAGGATTAAAGAGAACATTAAACAGAAGGACCAAAACTAAAGGATGAAATACTTATGGAGATAGCCAATCTAAAGATGAAACTTGCCTTTGTGAGATGATATGCTCGACATTTTTGATGGGATGGACAAGTTAAATTGGCCTTTGAAGCATTGACAAAATAAAACAACCAACCAAACCTCTTCCTCTGCATCCATCCACTCATGTGGTTTCTCTGATTACATTCTTTGGGAAAGCAATCATGTCCTAAAAGATACTTGAGGGCAAGAGCACAAATTCACAGAATTAGGGCAAAATCCCCCAGGTCCCACAAGGCCATTTTCAAAGCAGACACTTAAAGAACTTAGGGAAGTGGTATCCAAAGATCATTTAGCTTAAAGTTCTGAAGAACTGGGTCTGCTTCAAAGCTCAAAAGAGATGAGACCGGCAAATTTAGTCATGAAACTCCTACTGTGGCAAAGAGTCCTTGGTTTGTGGATCCTTGTCCAGTTGACACTGCAGGCAACAGAACTGAAGGTGTTGGTATCCCTGATGACTTCCATAGGAAAGGGGAGGCCAGCGCAGCCCGTCCTGCGCTCAAGGTCCTCCACTGTATGAATAATCTGCCTTGTTGTGCATCACGAGCTTGTTGTCTACAAAGTAGAAACTGTCCGACTGTGTCTCGTAGGGATGCAGGATCATCTCTCGAACTGCAGGGCGTAAAAAAAAGGAATAAAAGACAAAATTATCAGGGTCACACTGCAGGCCTGCTGAGGAAACGCTCCGCAGGGTTTCAAGGCGGGGTTTTAGGGTTTCACAGCGTTGCTCAGACAGCAGCAAACTCTCAGGTGAAGAACCCAAATGGGAACCAACCCAAACCATCTGCTGACAGTATCTTTAAGACAACTCAAACATAATCACGGAATTAGAGAACCAGGGAATCATTTATGTTGGAAAAGCCTTCTAAGATCATAAAGTCCAGCGACTAACCCAGCACTGCCATGGTCACCACTGAACCATGTCCCCAAGTGCCACATCCAGACATTTTTTTGAACACTTTCAGGGACGAAAAATGTTCATAATCCAAATACATCAAGGCACCATAAAAGGGTAAGTGCTCCACGTAACCTCAAAATGAGATCACGCTACAGTTTCCAGGATTTATTTTGTTGGGGTTTTTTTTAAAAGCAAAACATGATTAACAGTGAGCTCAAAAGAAATTTGTACTGGTCTGATAATAAGCAGGCAGCAGTGTCTCACTGTATTTTCCACAGACTGTAATATTAGTGCTGACATACACAATTAGGGGTTGTAAAGAATAAGATCACACAGATTTAGTGCTTGCGCTATCGTGTCTTGGGAGAGGAGAGAAAATAAAAGTTATGTTCATACTAAAACCTCTTGAGCTCTCAATATAGCACATCAAACATTAAAACAGAACATAACATTTAAGTCACCCATTTATTGGATGCTTTTTTAATCCTATTTTTGGTTGTTTTATAACACAATTAACTTTTTTCTCTCTCTGATATGAAGCTTCCCTTTTATGAATTAAAAAAACCACTCTAAACAAGCAACTCGGGTGGGTGATGACATGCAAGCTACCAGAAAACAAAATCAGTGTTAACACAAATCTAAAAGTATGAATTATTCTACCCAACATACTCTTTACAGAGAGCTTTTAAGAAAGGGTTCCCCCAAACCACCTCAGATGAACATGACAGTGTGATAACCCAGAAATGAAAGCGAGCTTACTGAGATCCTCCGAGAGCTGGGGGAATTCATAGATGTGCTCACAAGTATTTTTACTGCTGGGGATGCAGAAGCCAAATTCAAAATCGAAGCTTTTCAGCAGCTGATCGCGGAAGTAGTGCCTCTCAATCATACGGAAATTATTAATGGGTTTGTCCCCTACTGTGAATTCCACCCTGAAAAAGAAAGGGTAGGATTGATGTGAGCTTTCTTGCCTGAATAAGATTTGTACCATTCCCAAAAGGTAGAAGAGAGCTCTGAAAAAAAAAAAAAAAAAGCCAAAAATATAAATCCACGACACTAACTAAATCATCATTTCCTCTTTTTATTAAAGCTCTCTACAGGGACACAACACAGCATTACAAACCATAGGTTATACTATATTTTCCTTGGTTTTACTCAAAATAGAGACAAGCAAGACAATTCTTTAGGTGTCAGATTTTGTGGTGCTTTACTGAAGGATGCAAGCAGTGCTGCCAGACACGGCAAAGGTCAAACATGACCTCATCATTTCACATGTATCTGTGGATCGATGTTTTTTGGGAAGTGCAGTGTGGAAACTGAAAGATAAATCTTCCAAAGCTGGTAGAAGCCTCTGACAAATAAACTACAATGCACAGAAAAAAGCTGGAGTATAGAATCATGGAAAGGTTTGGGTGGGAAAGGACCTTAAAGACCATATCATTCCAACTCACCCTGCCATGGGCAGGGATATCTTCCACTACATCATGTTGTTCCAATCCCCACCCAATCTAGCCTTGAACACTTCCAGAGATGGGGCAGCCCCAGCTTCTCCAGACAACCTATGCCAGGGCCTCACCACCCTCACGGGGAAGAATTCCTTCCCAATATCCCATCTAACCCTGCCCTGTCAGTGTGAAGCCATTTCCCCTTGTCCTGTCACTCCAGGCCCTTGTCCAAAGTCCCTCTCCGGCTCTCTTGGGAACCCCTTTAGGCATGGGAAAATGCTCTAAGGTCTCTCCAGGGCCACCTCTTTTCTGGGTACTCTTCCCACCTTATTTTGCCCCTTTTAGCATCAATCTCTTCAACACCATTCCTGAGGTAACCAAACAAGCTACAGGGATGCAGAGAGCGAGGCATCCAGCAGAGAGATGTGGAGACCCTCACAACAAAAAAAAGATCCCTATTACATCAACTTCCTGACAGGATCAACATGGAAGAGACATTTTCTCTGGGACTTCAGTTGCTTCCTGTGCTAGAAGAAGCAGCAGAGGGGAGTTACTCACGTGGCTCCCACTTGCCGCAGCCTGAGAAAGGCCGGGGTGAACTGATAGCGAACGAAGCGTCCAGCGTTGGGGTCCACGTCCTTCCTGTCATTGTGCTCACGCTCTGGAAAAGCGCAAGACAAACCCTGTCAGAGCCATCTCAGAAACAGAAACCCGGTGAAAATACTTGTGATCACGTTATTGGGTAACATGAGCCAGGCAGCCGCTCTGAGGAAGCCTGATGGTGAGCTCACCCCTCCTCCTGTCCTGAGGCATCCACTGCTGGTCACTTGGAGATGGAGTACTGGAAGATGGACCTTTAGTTTGAGTCACTGCTCACCTTCTGAAGTGATTCACTGCTCCTACCTCAGATCATGACTGCAGAGTGACTCTGAACAAGCCATCTCCCCTTAGCATGTCTGGTTTGCTACCCACAAGCTACAGAAAACTTCCTCTCACCTGGAGGAAGGTGGGGAAGGGTTCTAAGTGCACAACGAGGAAAAAAACAGTTGCCCCAGATTTTTATTACCACTGGCAACAAGTAACACTTGGATGGTTTACAAGTGCCATCTAAAAATACAGAAAAAAAGAAAAACGCAAATCTTCAGTTTGTCTAATTTGCCCAATTGACAAAGCTTCTCCCTTTTGGAAATATCATTTTCCCATCTCCTTAGTGAAAGACGTTAAACTAACAGCAAAACTATGCACAGGAGGGGAGGCACAAGCTGATGAACAGCCAAGAAACAACCACACGGTGATCTCCTGCTCCTCCTCCTCTGCTTCTGTTTACAACATCCATCTGTCCTTTCCCATCACAGATGGCAACCGTGAGAGCACAGCAGCAGCGATCTCTGCTCACCGTGCTGGTACAAAGAGACACCTGAAAAACATTTCTGCTGCAAGCTGAGACTCAAGCCCTCCTGCAGTCAAAAGCATCTCCTGTTTTGGGGAAATGTATAGAGCAAAAGGAGAGGGAAAAGGCAAAGGGAAGCAGACACCAGCATGTGTTTGTTCATGGAAATGTTATTTTGTGTGTGCACTCACCTGAGGCTGCTGGCTTGGTGATTTCAAACAAGACTGTGCCAGACTCCATGTCCCGGATTTTAAACCTGGTGAAGTCTATCTTGTAAACATTTTCCTCTGGAGTGCACAAATAATCTGCAGAGGAAAGCAAATTTGAATAAAGGCTGCCCTGAAATACCAGAAATTTCTAGCTGTTCTCTGGAGGCCACACAAGCAGTGAGAGCAGCCCAAATGCATCCCCACTACTGCCCATTTTAATTCAAAACTGATGAGTCTCATTTCTGAATGCCCTACTCGGACAGGACAGGGAAAAGGCCTCTCTCCCCCCTACACCCGGAGGTCATCACCTTTTCCCAATCCTGCGCCAGCAACTTTTGCATCCATTTACTCCCAGGGTACTCAGACTAGTCAGCACCTCCATCAAATCCCAGCCTTTCCAACGTAAGAGGCTTTGCCTGTTTTAAAAACTGCCCTGTGGCAGAATGCAAGTGCTAAGCAGCTTTGGGAGCACTAAGCCGACTGCACTTAACTGGAACAGGAGTGTCCTCCCTTGTGCCACCTCCCTGCTCCAACCCTCTGCAGACGAAGGGTGGCCTCTGCTCTCCACTGATACTCCTTCCACATAAGGACTTGTTTTCCTCAGCACTGAAAATGGCATTGAAGCCTTTCCCTGTATTAGGAAAACAGAGAGCAGAGCACGTCCCCACTTCCAGCAGAGTCAGTGTCTTTGGGAGAAAATCATTACAGAATCACGGAACTGTGGAGGTTTGAAAAGCCCTCTAAGATCACCGAGTCCAACCATTAACCCAGCCATGTCCACCACAAAACCATGTCCCCAGCTGCTGCATCCACATGGCTTTTGAACACTTCCAGAGATGAGGATTCCACCACTAAAACCCCATGGATTTAGCCTTCAGCCTTGACGTGCCCTGAGCCAGCTCCTGGCATGGGAATCAGCCTCCTCCCTGGGGAAGAAGCAGTGGTGCCTCATTTCCACTGCACATACAGCACAGACTGAAAACAGCTCCAATAACTTACTTTATCCTGACAAATCTAAATAAATGCTGTACGTAGACAAGTCAGGTCAGCTTTCAAACAGCTGCACGTCGGCTTGATGTGGGAGACTGGTTTTGGAGGTTCCAAGGTGAAAATAATACTTAAACATTCTAATTTTTAGCCCTTTCTCAGCTACTAATTCCTGCTGTTAATCTGAGCTAATCACCTATTTCTGTCTGCTTTCCTATTTCTGAAATTCAAATACATCCATCCACCTTAGGCTTAGTCACTGACTACATAAAAACAAGTTACAAGTGCCCAGAGTTCAGACCTGCCCATGACAACCCAACTTCAGCACAGGTATAACAAATCCTGGACCGCTCTGAGCGACTGCTCCTGGGCTGCTGGGCATGAACACTTTCCTCGAAGCCTTTTATTCCTTCCAAATCTCCGTAACTTGGTGAACTGTCCAAGTACACTCAGTGCAAGGAACAGAGGTGTTAAATGTTCTCTCTGGACAGTTCTACTGCTCTCCAACATCCCCATATGGCTCAAAGGAACGCCCAGAGAGGTTACGGATGCCCCAGCCCTGAAAGCATTCAAAGCCAAGTTGGATGGGGCTTGGAACAACCTGGTCTAGTGGGAGGTGTCCCTGCCCATGGCACAGGGTTGGAACGAGATGACCTTTAAGGTCCCTTCCAACCCAAACCACTCTGAGATTCTACAATTCTATAAATGGGCTTTATGAGAGAGGACAGTGTTCAAAGCATCCCTGGCATTTGGCAGGGATTTTCCCTTCCCTATCAACACAGCACAAGGAAAAACTAACACCAGCACTCACATTATCAGGCAAAACAAGCTAAAAGCTCAACTTTTCTACTACGACAAGAAAACGCCAGGCTGTTGTTTGATCAAATAGCCCAAAAACTGCACAAAATTGTCTTTTCTGCCTTTACCAGTAGCCAAGAAGACAGAACAGACATTTAAACCAAGCCCTTGCCTTAAGCCCAGATGTTCAGCATTCCTCAGGGGGATGTCCTGCAATTACACTGTGATTTTAAGCTCTGACACATCAGCCACCCAGATTCTTAACCCGTCCTACAGCTTCCCAGTTCCGAGCAGCCACACGTAAAATACAAATTGATGGAAGCAGGCACAGCTTCCCACAGTCCAGCTTTGCCTCCCTGGGCCCATGGCCATCGGCTGCTTCCCGGGAAGGCGAGGGGCTGTACGGAAGAGGGGCAGTCGCCTGGGAGCCCGGGACACCTTCCCTAGAGCACGCGGGCAAATCTGAAGCCGCGTTTGTCTGCAAGTTAATTATTAAGTGTTTTTACTCCTGCAGAATTCCTGCCCATCCAGCACCATGGCAACAGCTTTATCCCCCTCCTTGGCAGCAGCGTTGCTGCAGTAACAGTGTCCATGACTCATCTGGAGCAGAGGAGAGCCAAGCAGAGCCTCCAAAGAGGAGTAAACCCCGGGTAGAATCCCCACCAGGCTCCTGCTCATTGATGTTTGCACCCCTGCATTGCATTTTCCAACTCCTTTTCCCCTGAAAATATTTTTTTTAATTTTTTTTTTTTTTTTTTTAATCAACATGTCAGGATACAACTGGATGACATCCGGGAAGCTCAGCTGCCAGAATACTGCAATCAAGTGTTTTTTCCTCCCCTGGCAGTGCCCAGTCTCCTAAAAGGGAAAAAACCAGAGGAATATCTATTCCTCTCAGTCTGTATTATATTTGTTTCTGCTATTCCTGTTCAAAAATCAATCAAAGTAGCCACGTGCTGATTTTTTCCCCATACATAACAGGAGCCTCCGGCTACACTGGAAGGTCTTATTGGGAATGGGCTGCTTGCAATTGGCAGATCCTTCTGCTCAGCTGAGCACTGTCAGATTTGCTAATCTCATCCCATACTTATTTTTAAATTACTGTAGGGCCCAGTTGCCCACACTTTCGTGACTCACTTAAATGTATCATTTGCTTTCCTTATCCTAATTCACCATGGCCACAATTTGGGGAAAGAAGGCAGCGTCCATGGTTATTTTAGTTAGGCATGAGGCAGCCCAAACCCCTGTGGAGAGGATCGTTACAAGAACGGTGGGTTGGTTTCTTAGGACGGAATATTTTCTCCTTTCTTCAGCTTCCCCTGGAGCAGGTTGTGCTGTTTCCCTGTTAATAACCAAATAATCATGGTATGTCCCCGACCAAGCCTTCAGTACTTACCTCATTTAGGGAGGACAGAGCACGTTCTGAGCAAGGGATAAAGGGACAGACACACCAGCACTGCTGTAGGAAACCCATCAGACTGGCTTTTGTCTCAAAGTACTCACTGCAAAAGCAGGTCACAAAAGAGGAGCATTTCCTACTCCTCCCTGAAGCCCAGGGAATTGCCATATCCCAGACCCCCATCCCCAAACTTGTCCTGGAAATCGTTCACCAACTGAGTTGAACTTGATCTCAGAAGAAACAGCAATCCCTTGAAACCTGCCCAAGCCTGGCATTATCAGCCACTTCTCAACTTACACATCACTACTCCTGATGGTGCCTCTCCAGCTTCCTTCCCATAATCTCTGGATCCTGCCCAAAGATCTGTAACTCCCTACTATTGGATATGTTTCCTATCTTAATACCTACCATGGTTTTGAAGAGCTTGGATCACAACTAACAACACTGTGGTGGTCTGAGGAAGCAGCAGAGGTGATTGACTTCCCAAGCCTGGCTCCATGAATTCCTTCATGAATTCTCCTATTCCCTTTATAGGAAAAAGTGATTCCAAAACCACCCCAAACAGTTGAGAGGACTCTAGCTTTGTTCTCGGACATAAAGGGTGCTCCTAACCTGTTACAGTTCTGAGGGGGTACCTCCACTGCCTAATCCAGAGAAGAGGAGAAGAACCAGTTCTCATCCAGGAAAACTTCCTTCCTTCCCAAATCCAACCAAAATTGCAAAATAAACCAGCAAAACAGCCTAGACAATGCCAGCAGGCACTGCCTGTGAACACTGGCACATCCTGAACCCCCGTGCATATTTCTAGCCGTGTATTTTAACACCTGGTGTTACAGAGGAGCACAAAAGGTGAGGGATAACACAGGGCTAGATAATACAAAAAGAAAGCTAACAAAGGCACTTTCTCCTCTGGCCCTCTTCCTGATGTTCCAGTTACCCAATGGACAAGATTAGGTGTTTGATCCTTATCAGAGAAAGCTAAAATCAATCCTGTATTTTCAAATTTCCTTTGCAACTACCCCACTAGGCACGTTTTATCAAGAAGAGTTTATGGTTTGTGGCAATAGGGTTCACACTCCTTGTTGTGCTCCTTTCAAGATCCCTTCCTCTCTGCAATCAGGAGAAAGCACGTGTCCCCTCTCACAGACACCACGGATATTTCTGTGGTGCTCATCAGAGTCTAAGCCCAGATTGGGCAGCTCCTATTTTAAGACCTTAAGAGCCCACAAAGGAAAGCAGAGTGCACCTGGGGTAAGAAAGAACTCAAAATCCGGCCCTGAAAATGAGTGTAAATCAGGAGATGCCGTACAAGAGACTCATGGAAGGGTAGTGACTTGAAACAGGAATTTCTCTCCCTACACAGGCAATAACAAGAATTTAGGGAATGAATGAGAAGGCTCCTGTAGCTATGCAGGTCTATTTCTTAACATGCGTTAATCAACAAGGTCAGGAGCTATTTTGAAGACAACTCCCAAGACCTAAGCCAGGTATAAAGCAAAGAGAACTGCAGAGGAATTGCCAGGAGCTAGAGATTAGGAGATTATCAGATTGAAGAGTCTCAGAAGGAAGAGAGCAAAAATAGCCCAAACCCCGTGAAGATGCCAAGCAGTGACGCAGGACACAGTGCAGGACCTCGAGGGGAAGGCAGGGCAGGTTCCAGGTGGTACTGATACACCTGCCCAGACAACAGGAGGTCAATTAAAGAAAAAAATAAACTACTTCCCTGCCCTTTACCTTAGCAGTTCAAGTCCTGTAAAACTAAGCCACCCAGGATCCAGAATCCACTCCATTTCTAGAGCCATGGGGTTTGGTAATCAAAGACTGGGGGGGTTACATGGGGAGGGAGGCAGCTGCCCTCCCACCTAGCTCTGGACTTAGGCTGCTGCGATGCCCCAGAGGAAAAATCCTGCACTAGAAGGTTCCCATGGGAGTTTTTCCACAGCAGCACATTTACTGACCAACACTGTGAATAAAGCAGAGGGATGTAGCCCAGCAGGCTCTGAGCTGGGGCACTTTCCAAGGTCCCCAGAGCCCCTCAGGTGCTGAGTTGTATTGCACAGCTCACCAGGCTCTGCTTTTTGTGGCAGTCTGCTCACCTCTTTTTTTTTTTTCCTTTCTTTTTTTCTAGCTAGAGCTTTCCAGACTTCACCCTCTCACAATTAATTTGATCACAGCCCTGCAGGTCTTGTTAGGAAAGGATGGAGCTGTTCTTCCCCCACCTCCAAAGCATCCAAACGCTTTTTCCTGCCCCCTTTTCACGCTGATTGCACTCAAAATCTGAAACCACGTGCACAACATTAACAAAATCAGCTATTTTTGCTCTTACACGGGGCTGAGCCAAAGCCATCCAGTTTTGCCCAGACTCCCCTGGTGGATTCCACAGCTTTCCTCTTACCTTTGCCATTTCCACCAGGGATGGCTCAAACCCATGACCCTGTCAGCAGGAGGAATCCTGTGGCACACACACACCATGTGTGCTGCCCCTGAGAATCTTAACAGCCCATATTGTACTGTGAGACTTCCAAAAACACCCTTCATCTACACAACGCCCCAAGCCACACGGTGTCACAGAGCCTTGGAAAGGTTCACAGCCTACGTGGGGGTGCTGAGGGAAGAGTCACGGAGGGAGCAGCTTGGCACAGCTCTGGGATATCACTCTGAGACAAGAAATCAGCACATCAAAACACATCAACACATCACAGCCCTGGACAAGTCAGAACAGTGATTCATTAACATCCTCACAAACACCCGCAGCTCGTCAGAGCTCCTAATAAAATACATTCTCCCAATTAACTGGGGAGGGAAGTCATGGTCCAGGAGTGGCTTTGAAGATTGATTCATGCACATCTGCCTCACATTCCTGTTAATGCCTCCCTCCCTGTGTACCCTCCTGGTCCTTGCTTATCCAAACCCTAAGGCTTTAGAAATAGATTTGATCCTGGCTGGTTCAGCTTTACAGGACTTGAACTGCTGAGGCAGAGGGCAGGGAAATGGTTTATTTAGCTTTTTGTTTATTTGACTACAGGGAAACTGGTATGAAAGTCACATAGGAAAGGTCTACCCTGCTCGACCCACTGAGGCAGCCAAGCTGGCCTTTAGCTAAAGCTGCCTAGAGAAGTCTCAAAGAAATCCCAAATGACAGCTCGAGGAAGAGATTACTTTCAGAAATGATTACGTATGTGTTCCTTATTTAAAAATAAGGTTTGTTTTGAAATTGTTTCCAAGTATGTAATCCATTATTTAACCCCTTGGTTCGCTAAAATAAAATCAGCTTTAGAATAAAACCTAAAATGCATGACTTAATCTTGTATTACAGACAAAGTGTGCAGGTGATAAGCAGGGCAGCCTCAGAGGATGGAGCTTGTCTTTTGTTACGTATCTGACTCCTCTGATCCTCTTGTTGCTTCAGTAATTAATTGCAATTTGAACTGAGCTCTGCCCCACTCCTTTACTAATCTTAAATTAATCACGTCATAAGGCTTTTCCGCTTTTTCTGACCACAGTTGTGTGAGCGAGTAACAAATCTTGCTAATTGCAAAGGAAATGGTCTGCTCGCCTTACACCTGATCCAGCTGGAGCAGCGCCAGAGCCAGCCCGGCCAAAAGGCCCAGATATCCCAGGGCAGCATCCCAGATCTGTCAGGCTGGATCCCCCACATGCCCAGAAATGTTATGGGCCTGGAGATGCTGGAGAATTTAACATTGAAAGGACACAGCATATGCAGGGCAGTTTGCACAACTCCCCCCTTTTAAGCTTATTAGAGTCACATTAGGAGCAGAGCCCAGCTGGCTCCCCTGGCTGCCCACAGACAGGGTGTCCTGCCACAGAGCCAC